CAGTTACAAAAAAAGGCTTAAGTTATAGATTTGCTGGAGTCTTCTTATCTTACAAGTACATTGCATATGTTTCAGAGGAGAGAGGAGGTGTGCTTGTTAGTGACTGTGCAAAGCCAGATCTGGTCTGTGATGACGTGAAACAGCCAAGTCCATCCCTATGTGCTGATGAAGAGGGCTTAGAAGACGACACTCTACGATGTGTACACAAGGAAAAAGACTTCATTTCTCTTCTCTCCTGCACTCCAGGTCAGTGTAGCTAGGCAATTATTAAAACTTAGTGACACACACACAGTGATGACACACATGAATCTGTAATGATAACACCCCCCCCCCCCACCCCCCCCAAAAAAAAAAACCTGTATCCAATTTCTGTCTCTGAATTTTCTTTCTGCAGATACTGTGTCATATAGAGACAGGAATCAAGGGTCTATCCTCATACAGTACATTGTTCAGGTTTTCAACACCTTTGCACATCAAGACGACGTCGAGGAGCTCTTCAGAAAAGTAAGCGCTGCAAGTGTAAATTGTTTTATACTTATTGGAAGCAAGTCTCATTACTTCACAACCATGTTGATACTGCTTGTGACATTTATGTGGACAGTTACGTTAAAGCAATATTTAAATTACACTTCAATTATCACTGGGAAATAGTGCATGTACAGTATTAAAAGTAAAATAATAAAAGGTTAAAAAGTTTGCAGAGTATGGCCCAAAAGAAGGCTTTCAAAGCATTTTTCATCTCCTGGAAGTTACGCTTACAGGAATCAATAAGTGCCATATCTGTCACTTATGTTTCTGGAACATGTGGAAAGTTGTATTGCTATAGTCAAGCAGTAATTACTTTGTTCTCGTGTCATTAGTGTGATAATGTTGTACATTATTACTGTGATAATGTCGTACATCATTTTAATCATACAGGTGATGCAACGCTTTGAAGACTTCAGTGTTCAAAACAGGAGACAGATGCCAACAAAAGACAGATGCACACTGACAAGACGCTTCTACTTCTTTCCAGGCCTCTGAGATATTTTTACAGTTATGTAACTCAACTTTGCTGCCATTTCAATTGATGTTTTTAGTGCTCAGAGTTAGGTCATTTTATCATTTCCAAAGAACTACAAAGAGATGCAAACCTAGAAGCAAAAAGATGATATGATCTCACAGTTAGACAAAAATGGCCACAATAAGATGCAAAATAGCTACAAACAGATGGAAAATACAATGATAATAAAAATTTTAAAAGAATGAAACAAAGCTGCCATCTGTCTGTCTCCTTTGTTAAAAAAAAAAATCCTGATGACATTTCTAGCTTCATGTGAGACCCATGCACACAAAACACATCAACATGAAATATCCTCTATGTGGCAATTGGAGACGGTTGGATGGACGAACTGGAAGAGACGTCCAGCAGAAACAGGGTCAGAGAGGGACAGACATACTCTCTTCCACAGCATGTCTTTGTCCTATCTTCCTCCCTTCACACCATCTTTGCAGAAGATGGACACCCCTCCCTCAACCTGGTTCTGCTAGGGCTTTCTTCCTGTTATAAGGGAGTTTTTCCTTCCCACTGTCGCTAAACCTCTTGTTTGCATAGGAGTCCATATGATTGTTAGCTTTTCTCTGTTTTCTTTGTATTATTTTTTTTTCTATTATTCTAGAGTAACATGTAAAGTATCCTGACATAACTGTTGCTGTGTTTTCATGCTATACAAAAATAAAGAAATAAAAATAAAATGCGCTTTGCTTTTATTTTCCACTCACTGCCTTTCTCTCTCTTTGGATTCATACACCACTGCTGCATTTAACTTAAGGAGTTACTACACTCTGCCTCTCTCTCTCCTACAGTGTCTTGCTCTCAATTCTTCTCATCTCTGCCCTTGTCGCCACATCTTCCTGTTAAAAAAGAATCCACTGGTGTTAAGTGCTTGTTCAAAGGGGGTCATCTGACTGTAATTGTGCTTGTTTGTTTGTTTATATCATAGGACCTTTAGCCTACAATATAAATTGCCCTGAGGTGACAACTGGTATACTGGTTTAGGGCTTTTGCTATACTGCTCCACTTGATGGTCATAGCTTAGAAGATTTTTTTTAAAGGATCTTTTTTAATTTTCAGTCCTTACAATGCCCCAGCAGGTAGGGGCACCAGCCACTGACAGGGAGTGTGGTGGGGGAAATAGCCCCCACACCTGGGGATGCCCGAGACTTTCAGAAGGAGGTGAAGCCTAAGACCCAGCCTGACACATACAGGTCCTTCTCAAAAAATTAGCATATAGTGATAAAGTTCATTATTTTCTGTAATGTACTGATAAACAGTAGACTTTCATATATTTTAGATTCATTACACACAACTGAAGTAGTTCAAGCCTTTTATTGTTTTAATATTGATGATTTTGGCATACAGCTCATGAAAACCCAAAATTCCTATCTCAAAAAAGTAGCATATTTCATCTGACCAATAAAAGAAAAGTGTTTTTAATACAAAAAAAGAGTCAACCTTCAAATAATTATGTTCAGTTATGCACTCAATACTTGGTCGGGAATCCTTTTGCAGAAATGACTGCTTCAATGCGGCGTGGCATGGAGGCAATCAGCCTGTGGCACTGCTGAGGTGTTATGGAGGCCCAGGATGCTTCGATAGCGGCCTTAAGCTCATCCAGAGTGTTGGGTCTTGCGTCTCTCAACTTTCTCTTCACAATATCCCACAGATTCTTTATGGGGTTCAGGTCAGGAGAGTTGGCAGGCCAATTGAGCACAGTAATACCATGGTCAGTAAACCATTTACCAGTGGTTTTGGCACTGTGAGCAGGTGCCAGGTCGTGCTGAAAAATGAAATCTTCATCTCCATAAAGCTTTTCAGCAGATGGAAGCATGAAGTGCTCCAAAATCTCCTGATAGCTAGCTACATTGACCCTGCCCTTGATAAAACACAGTGGACCAACACCAGCAGCTGACATGGCACCCCAGACCATCACTGACTGTGGATACTTGACACTGGACTTCAGGCATTTTGGCATTTCCCTCTCCCCAGTCTTCCTCCAGACTCTGGCACCTTGATTTCCGAATGACATGAAAAAGTTGCTTTCATCCGAAAAAAGTACTTTGGACCACTGAGAAACAGTCCAGCGCTGCTTCTCTGAAGCCCAGGTCAGGCGCTTCTGCTGCTGTTTCTGGTTCAAAAGTGGTTTGACCTGGGGAATGCGGCACCTGTAGCCCATTTCCTGCACACGCCTGTACACGGTGGCTCTGGATGTTTCTACTCCAGACTCAGCCGACTGCTTCCGCAGGTCCTCCAAGGTCTGGAATCGGTCCTTCTCCACAATCTTCCTCAGGGTCCGGTCACCTCTTCTCGTTGTGCAGCGTTTTCTGCCACACTTTTTCCTCAGACTTCCCACTGAGGTGCCTTGATACAGCACTCTGGGAACAGCCTATTCGTTCAGAAATTTCTTTCTGTGTCTTACCCTCTTGCTTGAGGGTGTCAAAGATGGCCTTCTGGACAGCAGTCAGGTCGGCAGTCTTACCCATGATTGCGGTTTTGAGTAATGAACCCGGCTGGGAGTTTTTAAAAGCCTCAGGAATCTTTTGCAGGTGTTTAGAGTTAATTCGCTGATTCAGATGATTAGGTTAATAGCTCGTTTAGAGAACCTATTCATGATATGCTAATTGTTTGACATAGGAATTTTGGGTTTTCATGAGCTGTATGCCAAAATCATCAATAATGAAATGCTTGAACTACTTCAGTTGTGTGTAATGAATCTAAAATATATGAAAGTCTAATGTTTATCAGTACATTACAGAAAATAATGAACTTTATCACAATATGCAAATTTTTTGAGAAGGACCTGTAGACAGGCATGTTTTCATAGTTTCCCAGAGCAGACACTTCCAAGTAAGGCAGGTGAAGGGAGGGGGATTACTTGTGAATTGAAACTTACTGAACTTGCTTCTTTTCTTCGAGATCTTGCAATGATAAGAATATCTGTGGTCTTGATGCAGTCAACCCTACAGGCATAGTTCAGTGTATTGGAAACACTCAGCAAAGGAACGGTAGATGGAAAGAAAATTATTATATGAAATGAAGAGAGATGGCGATTTTTCTCTGGTTATGTTTTTTTGTTAATTTTTTGTCATTAACGTATAATATTGGCCATTAAAACATCGTGGAGTTGAAATGTTCAGACAAGTTCAAACATGACTTGACATGTTGTGGTAATTCAAAGGACACAGAAATGTTGATACTGTCGGTAAACTGCTTTTATCTCATCTTTCTGTTTTCTTTGACAGCAGCCCAAGTTTCACTTTTACTTCCTGTTCCTTATGTCTGCCTTCTTTTTAAAGCAAGCTGTTTTGATCATAATTCAGTATACACAAAATGCGTGTAAGTTAGGAGTGAAACTATCTGAAAATAAATTGAAAATAAATTAAGTTATAAATGCAATTTTGGAGAGTTTATATGCCTAACGTGCAGCAGATGAACCTATGAAAGTAAGAAGAAACATTGTCACAAAAGCAGCAGCTTGCCTATGCACTAAAACAGGAAGAAGAGTTTATGAACTCTTGTTCAATACAAGTTAAGGCTTAAATAAAAATGTTAAAAATGCAAAAGCTAGTTGATCCTTGAATTTAAAAACATCTTACATTTCATTAACGGCTCTATAACCACTTATTGGCATCTCTTTGTTCCTAGGAAATCAGGCAGTGCTGTCCAAAACAGCACACATGAGCACACATAAAGGTTTGCAAATGGTAACATACAGAAAGCACAAGTAGTGCAGGAGGTGCTCAGGAACATGACTCTTAGAAAATATAAAAGATGTGTTCTTTGCAAACAAAGATATTTGTCATGACTTCATTTCTAAGAGACCACTGCTCAGAAGAAAAAGAAAATATTTTATGTTGCATTTCAAGTTTGACTTGATTACAACCACTTCCATGGAAGTGTGGTTTCCACACAACTATTAATAGATAAAACATCTTGGCAAACACACAATCATTTGTACATGCTGGAGGACACAGGTTGCAAATTTGTGAAGTAAAGTTTATGAAAGATGGCAGGTAAGACAGAAGTTATCATGATCCATGCACTTTCCAAGTGTTAATGTGTGATAGATTTTGATTTTGACATGATTATTTGATCTCATTCTTCCCTCTAGATAAGGAGCTTGCCAGAGTGAGAGGACGGTTTGTTGAAAAGGTATCAAAAGCCCTTCTTAAACAGCTCCTGGATGACCTTTTAGAAGAGGGTTTGCTGAATGATGGAGAGACAGACTCTGTGCTCGAAGACAACAGCAACAAAGCAGACATGGCCCGTGCTCTCATCGACATGGTGAAGAGGAAAGGAGATAAAGCTAGCAGGAAGATGATCGAACACCTGGAGAAGAGAGATCCTACACTTTACTCTGAGCTGGGTCTGTCCTGTGGTCAGCCTCCTGGTGAGTTCACCCTGTTTGGAAGAAGGAAATCGTACAGAATAAAGTCTGAACAGTGCTTTTGCTTTTTCCAACTGCAGCGTCTCAGAAGGAGCAAAGCTGGTCGTCCAAACTCATCGCCACAACTGACTCTTTCTGGAGGACAAAGCTGAACGATAAAAATGTTTGTCATGACTGTTCAAACACTTTTAACAAACAAGATTCAAATTTGGAATACTTTGTAAGTTTATACACTTAAATTTTACATTTATAACAGTAAATATTCTGTCTTTACATTTGTATTTTTAGATTTACCCTGTGGCAGAAAAGTCCATCAGCAGTCGAGTGGCCCTCCTAATCACTAATCGAAATTTTTCTGATGAGAGATTAACCCGAAAAGGAGCTGAAGTTGACGAGGAGAACATGGATAAACTTCTCCGATCTCTGCATTATGAAGTGGTCAAATACAAAGATCTCACTGGAAAGGTATTTAAATACTAATCTTTTATTCTTTCCTAGCAAATTACGGCTGAGTGACAAAATAACTGATGCTGGGACTTTTTGTGTTCAATCAGATGATCGATGAGGCTCTGATGAATTTCTCCAAACATCCCAAACTCAAAGAGACAGACAGTGTGTTTGTGGTGATTATGTCTCACGGGAAACGGGGAATTGTCCTCGGTGTCAATCACAGAGAAGAAGTGGAACCAGATGAATTCCCTGTTGACAATATTTACAAGTACTTGGGCTCACAGAAATGCTCAGCACTGCTAAACAAACCAAAGATCATCATCATCCAGGCCTGCAGAGGAGGTGACTTTCAATCATTTCATCTGACCAACATCCACAAATGTCCTCGTAGCTACAGTTTGGACCTGAATTAAAAGCATGCTGCGTGTGTTGCAGAATCTGGTGGCTCCGTGATGGTTAGTGACAGTGCAAAAGTGGTCTGTGATGATGTGTCACAGAGCCGCTTTGATGAAAACAGCATTGTGGATGACTCTACTCGATACGTGCACAAAGAAAAGGACTTCGTTTCACTTCTGTCCAGCACCCCAGGTCAGTTTGTCTGCTGATGGGTTTTATTATGCAAAAGATTTCTGACATTATTAAGATAAGCATCTGAAATTTGCACCAATAACACACAAGCATAGTCTCATTCTCAGTTTTCACATGATTTCCTGCAGACACTGTTTCATACAGACAGGAAGACCGTGGGTCTTTTCTGATCCAGTTCATCAAGGAGGTATTCAACACGTGCTCTCATGAGGACGACATCGACGAGCTCTTCAGAAAAGTAAGTACCTGAAAACTCGTTTGGTGATAGTGCTGCAGGCAAACAGATGCAGTCACTGGTTATGTTTTCATCACACAGGTCATGCAACGCTTTGAAGATTTTCCCTCTGAGAAACTGAGACAGATGCCAACCAAAGACAGATGCACTCTAACCAAGCGCTTCTACCTCTTTCCAGGCCGCTGAGACAGGATTGAATTTTGGTCAAAGGAAACACATAATAAGTGCTAATAAGTACATTAATGATTTCATGGATTATCACTTCCTAGTAATAAGGGATTCATACTTATCTGTAGTATAACGAGGGATATGCATTGATTATTGTGAATTATATGTAAAATATTGATTTCTTTGTTTCTGTTTTTACTGCTTTGTGAAAGTGAATGTGAGATTTTGTCAACTTTTAATACGTTTGGACATTTTAGTAGCTATATGAGTGAGTGTATCATTTACATTCATCAGTTGTTCTTGTCTATAATGTCATCACTGTTACTGTTATGTGTCTAAATAAGTAAATGAGCCCTTAGTTACAGTAAATGAATCTTGTATTAACTAAAATGTTAACACCAGCGGTCTCCAACCTTTTTTGCGCCACGGACCGGTTTATGCCCGACAATATTTTCATGGACCGGCCTTTAAGGTGTCGCGGATAAATACAACAAAAATAAAACTAGTACCGGTACCGAAAAAAATAAAATTTATTCATAACACACGCGAAAAGACCAAAGAAAACCGAGTAAACGATAAAAACGATAACTAAATAACGCTGAAAACCGATAAAAACCCTGAAAACTATACATTTCACACCTGAGCCTCAACTCTCGCGGCCCGGTACCAAACGACTCACCGGTAAAGACATAAAGACCTGGATGGCTGCTAACTTTCTGCTCCTTAATTCTGATAAAACTGAGGTTATTGTACTTGGCCCTGAAAAGCTTAGAAATATGGTATCTAACCAGATTCTTACTCTGGATGGCATTACCTTGGCCTCCAGTAACACTGTGAGGAACCTTGGAGTCATTTTTGACCAGGATATGTTCCTCAATGCACATATTAAACAAATATCTAGGACTGCTTTCTTCCATTTGCGCAGCATCTCTAAAATTATAAATATCCTGTCTCAGAGTGACGCTGAAAAACTAGGCTGGACTACTGTAATTCATTATTATCAGAAAGTTCTAAAAAGAACTTTCGGGTGAGAGAAGGATGGCTGCCCCTCCCTGAGCCTGGTTCTGCCGGAGGTTTCTTCCTGTTAAAAGGGAGTTTTTCCTTCCCACTGTCACCAAAGTGCTTGCTCATAGGGGGTCATATGATTGTTGGGTTTTTCTCTGTATTATTGTAGGGTGTAACTTACAATATAAAGCGCCTTGAGGAGACTGTTGTTGTGATTTGGTGGTATATAAATAAAATTTAATTGAATTGAATCATGTGGGTCTATGACCACTGGTCCAACATATAATTATGCTTAATACAAGCATTTTGTTAGTAACTCAGATTTTTATTACTGCACATTAATTATCTTTAATCTACAGGTGGGCTACAATAATAGAAATTACAAGTATATAAAGTTACATATTTATAGAAATGTAATTATTTATGTAAAAGTTTTAATAAAATTGCCAATAGGAGGTGGTTAGCTTGTGATATTACTAATTACTGTGACCTAAATTTACTGTTTTTCTATTGAAGATCCAGTGGCAGATGAGTTATACATTGATTTAAACACATTGTATAGACTAGAAAGCTTTAGTAATTTATACCTGACAGCCCTTGTTATTTATGTTTTTTGAATAGAGTTTTAAGGAAATACATCACTTTATTTTGTATTTTAATTAGAGTGAAGATTTAAGATTGTGAGGGCCCAGTGGGATTTTCAGTTTTTTAAGCAGGCTGCAGCATTTTTGACTGTGGGAATGAGCATTTTAAAACATCTTAGTATAGTACAGTTACTGACATATTAACACATTCACATTCAAAGAAATCATTAGATGCTTCCTAAACTTGTTCATCTGGGGATGAGCATGTCTTTACTTTTATGATTGGCTAGCTGACAACAGATAGGTCAAAAGATCCTTAACTGGGTGGAAAGAAAGCGTGAGCTCGTGCCTTTAAAAGTTGTGCAGTGTTTTGGCCACATCCTGTATGATGGTGGTTTTCAACCTTGGCCATCTGATGTAGCCCCCACCCTCAAAACCCTGTTAGATGGGTTAAAAATAATTCCCTTCAGCACCACCTTATAAACACCTGCACTGTTTTATCTCTTACGCTCAGTGCATGCAGCCTACCTTTGTAGCAAACTGCCTAAATCTTTAATCAGTTGGTAGTGGGTTTATATTTCAGACATGCATCTAAAATGTTTAGTTAGCAGTCCATATAACAGCTATATTCATGAGCCTGTTTTAACCATTTATCAGTTCTCTTTAGCTAAAAATTTTATTCATTTATTGAGAATTTTGTGGTTTCAAGTGATGAAATGCTGCATGAAAAGCATGGTTTGCTTGTTTCACTCAAGCCAGAAGCTAGTAGTGCAAACGTTTTCACTGATGATTTCCTGCATCTCGGTGCATCTCTTTCTTTACAGGAAGATGACCCTGATGGTGTGAAAGTAGTTTTGCAAATAGGAAGTAGCTTTCTTGGTAAAAAAAAAAAAAAAAAAAAAAAAAATTGAAAGGAAATCCACAAACCTGAAACTCTGTAACATTAAGTGTACAACTTTGAAATGCCTTCAAATACTAAAAGAAAAAGTAGGTGAAACTCTGGTCTCTCTCATGCAACATTTAGAGGAATTATGGGTCGCACAAGACTTTTGCTCAATTTAAGGTTTAAAGAAGAATAGAATTAAGAATAACTCAAAGTATTCATTTGGAATCTAAGAAAAAAAAAGTGCATACTTTTAGTGGTATGCAGTGTAAAATATCTGAATGTTCAAACTGACTGTAAAGTTTTATCCATTTAATTTACATTTTCAAAACGGAACTTTAAGTTCTTAAATTTTAATGGTAACGGCAGTCTCTTTAGCAGCTCTTCAATTCTATGCAGAATAATAAAAGTATAAATAAAAAATGTAAGAATAGCAGTAGCAGGGTGTAATAAAATCAGTCTAAAAGGTAAAGTGGAGAGGGATAAAAGGTAGTGTTCAGAGTGGGTTATTTTCCTTATTATTCAGCTGGTCTTCTTGTGCCAGTCACAGTGTATATCTCTGTCATATCTTGGTCATATGCACTGTGATTCTGATGACACCCTTAGCAGCTTTGTCCACCCTCTGCAGGTCCTTCCAGTCTTGTTCTGTGTGTACCAGGTAGTGCAGCACTATGTCATGAAACGACATACAATACAATACAATGTTGTAACTGATGTAAACCAACTCATGTGAGGTAAAATACAAGCAGATGATGGTAAGTTGGTGTAATGAGTAATTGAGATGACAGTGACAATTACATTTAACTTGTAAATTAGAGCAACCACAGCCACATACAGACATTATGTTAACTGATGATAGTGAATGTCTGGTACTGTTTCTCTGTGTTAAATCTGTTAAATAAAAACTCAATCACTTCACATATTTGATTATCACAACAGGCACAAGACTACAGAGGAAGTAATTGTCATCTGATTTAAATGTGACAAAACGGGAAATTGCAGAGTCCAGCGAGCTAATATAAGGTTAGGTGCCAAAAGGACAGAGCCTGCGCCTAGAAGAGGGAAGTAGGTCGGAAGTTCATGTCTACAAAAACAACAAGTTCAAACTGGAACAAGTGCCATTAGGAAGTAAGAGGAATTACACTCTTAATTCTGTATGAGAAGTTTAAATGTAGATTTGAGTGCAGGGTAACCAGATCCAAATAAATTTAAACCAGGGCGTAGGACGTGAAGGATAACATGCGACATGTTGCTAATGCTGAGTTGTCTGAAATATGGATTTATTCAGCTTAAAGCAAACACGCAAAAACTTTGCAGGTTTGACAGTTAGCATGTGAAGAACAAATACTACTGCAATTTTCAAATCTTCAGTGTAAAGTTAAGAAATACAATAAAAACAAAAGGAAGCTGAAGTTTCTTCATATGGTCTTTTCTGCCTTCTTGCACTCATTCTCGCTTCTTCTTATTTATTGTGTGACTATATGTCATACTTTCCACTTGTGAAACTGAAAGAACTCCACTAACTTTACTCAGGTAGCTTCCCAGTGTTTCATTGGGCAGACATCCCTTTTCTTTCCCAAATTTTCCATCATATTTTGACAAAATCACTGCCTTAGCAGATTTTAAGGCTGTGCAATTTCCCCTGTTGAGTAGAATATAATATGCTGAAAAGTTACCAAGATGCATCATGACAACCTTCCCTGCTTTCAGTTCAAATGGATAAACAGTCACATGCCAGAGAAGTGTTGATTTATTTAACAAATATTGCCAATAAATGTGTGGGGCATCGTCTCACTATACTGGATAAGGGAAAAATAGATACAATACAGTACAAGCTATAGGTTAAAAGATGGAACTGAGCACTGGACACATAATATAGTTGGCTGTTTGTGGATGGTAATGTTGGCTTTGTTGTTAATGTTACTTTTCTGCACCATCTAGATAAATGCCTGTTCCTTTTGAGTTCTTGAAGTTGTTAGTTCTAATAAAAGAAGACTGCTACAATTTTCAACTTTATTTAGGGAAATGTGACCAGCAGCAGTGATGCAGTTTTGCCATCAGATGTGGTCCTCTGGGCTTCCTTTAAACATACATCTGCGCATAAACCTGGAAGAACTCATATGAAGCTACCCAAGTGTTGCCATTTCAGTTTCGGCTTGTCCATTCAGCAAGCTAAACCTAGACACAGAGTGCTGCTGCCTGACCTTTCTTTTAGAAGTGAAGGTGTGTTTTCTATGAAGTGGAAGCATATCCATATTCAGATGTGTCGCAGATCACATCAGAGGCAGTGAAACGTGTAAACAGGTCTGTGCAGGTTCTGTAATGCAGGTAGTCTAAGAAGTTTGGAAAGAAAGCGACTGCACTTTAGATTTTGTGAAGATGTTTCATGGGCTAAACCTTTCAGTTCTAAAATCAAATGGTAGACTGTCCCAGTTGTTAAACCCTACTTGGGTACCTTGAGAGGGTCACTAAGCCAGTATTAATTATGTGGATTGTCACAGTGAAACATCTTCAAGAAACTTAGTCCAGTCATTTTTTTTCCAAGCTCTTTGGGTCTAAACAGATCTTTGTCATTTTATTCTTTATTTTGCATTTTTCCCATGCCGCAGAAAACGAGAAATTGCTGAAAGCGGTATTATGGCTACCCACAAGTCCCGCTCTGCCCCAGCTTTCAGGTTACTGCACTTCTGCTGCTGATAGAAAGCTAAGGACAGGTTTGGTTTTTGCTACTAATGATGTGTTGGTGCACCAATAATCCTGCTTTGTGCATTCAGGTTCAAACGTTGTGTATGTGCTTGACTGAAGAGTCAATGGTGCAAAGCGACCAACTGCAGGATTATGACTGAACTCCTCAAAATCAGAATCCTGTCTAGAAAAAGTGACATCATAGTCAGTTCATCTTGACAAGACAGCCCGTCCAGACCAGTGAAGGAGAGCAGTTTGGGACTGGGCTGGAGGAAGGCTGAATATTTGACGTCCCTCTCCAATTTTGCAATCATGTTTGTGGACATTCTGGTGCTTAAATAACTTGCTACCAACACATCAACTTCAAGGACTCACCATTCACGTTTTCACTGGTATTGGACTTCTGGATATATTATTCCCCTGTGGAATCATGTGTGCAAGGCAAACTACAAACTCAGTGTAATTTTTTGGGACAAACTTTACTTAAAAAAAGAAAAAAACAAGACTCATTAAACAAATAAACCCATGTCATTACAATACAACACAAAGGCAACAAGTTGAGTAGGCAACATGGTAACATGGTTGCAGTCTGTGCTGTCTGATGTTTCCCCCCAAAAATGATATGAGTCTTTTAACAGGGCTACTTTGGGTTCATGCTGATGCATTCATTGACTCAGTGAGTTCATCAATGGAAATAAACATACAGTAGAAGTAGCTTGACAGGATAATATGCACTGTTTAAACCTTGGGGTTTACAGAAACGGCAGAAATAAACAAAAGGTTTGTCACTTCATTAATCCAACCAGACTAGACTCCACTTTAACAGCTTATTTAAATATACTGGCAGTGTTAGAGAGCTTTATATTACTTTAGAAAACAAAGACACATTTGGCTACCAACAAGCACTCATGTTTTCATCCAACGACTCACATACAACATGTTCAGACATGTAGCTACCAAGGAACTTGCAAATATCCTTTCAAATCTTATATATGCATGCATGCACTCAATCACACTCAACACTGGAGCAACGGTCAAAAATGCTGCACAACCGGTAAGGCCAGATGAAATTAAGTACAGTAGCGTTGCTTCTGTCAACTACAAGAGATGTGCAATTAGAAAAAAAGTTTGGCAGTGTGTTAAATATACGAGCAAAATACCCAACATCAACGTAGCTATGTTCTTTTTGATGTATTCCCTTTTGCAACAGAGTACAAAACACCACTTTACAGTGAACTAAACCATGCAGGGCTTTTAAGAGGGAGGTAGAAGACATCAGAGAGAGAAAGTAAGAAGACTACAAAAAAGATAAATACATGTGCAAATGAACAGAGGTCTACAGATAACATAGCTCTGAAAACATAACCGATGAGTTACCTGTCACTTTGCCTGTACAACACAAAAAAAAGACACATCTGAATCAGTGTCATACTTGGAAGTTGGAATGTTTTAGTATAGCGTTACATTTCATTTAGTAACTTTTTCATTCAAGAAACATCATATCGTTGACAACACTCGACACTCTGATAAACAGTTTGCAGCACCACACATTTACAAAATAGCAACTCATGCGAAACAAAAACAAAACACCTCTGGCCCTGTACACTGTGTGTAAAATTTATTGTACATTATGTAACGTATCTTTTGCTGAACACGTAATAGATTGCATTTGTTAAAACAGGAAATTGGAAATGTGTGTTATTCTGCTTTTAGCTCTGTCGTGTGACTTTGTGTGTTGTTTTTAGTGTGATCGTGGCTGAGGTTTAGCCCAGTGTTCCCCCAACAATGGAAGCAATGACGACTCCCAGAATGATACAGCATATAATAATCATAATTTTCTTCTGAATGGTATTAACAAATAAAAGAAAAAAAAAACATCCAAAGCAGCAAATGGGGAGCAGAGAAAACATGTTAGTTATACTGTTTGTGCTTTACTTGAACAGAGTTAATAATAATTTGAACAAAATGCAGTTTACAACAAAAGTAAAAGAACCGAGCTGGGGAAAAAATGCAATTTAATTCATTCTAATAATGCTGGAGTGTGACCAAAATGTTACATTATTTCTACATCTTCTTTTAAAAGAAATCTTTAAATCCTGCATTTTGCTCATACCATCTGTCATATACACATGCCACAAACAGAAATCATCTCTGTGGTTAAAGCCATCACATGCACAACATAAAAAGCATCGATTTGGCTCCATCTAGTGGTTATCCAAGAATATGCAAGCAAGACTGCAAATTTATCAAAAAGTAAAAATCCACCAAACACAAACTTCACTTTTAAAACGTGTTTAGCAAAGGTCCCTCTAATGAAGAAGTTCAGCGTGCAGCAAATAAATCCTGTGGACTTGCACAGTTTCCAACAACTCTTAAAGAAACCGTTTAAGGAAATATGCCCTTAGTTATGAGTCACATACATCTCATCACATCAGTATAATAAGGAGAAAATAAAAGTTCAATTAAACACATCATCTCTCTCTATGAGACACCCTCATGCAGTTCTAAAGTTTTACATATCAGGACATAAACAAAATCATCTGGTTATTACAGCTAAACTAAAATTATCCATCCATTCTCTACTGCTTATCCTTCTCAGGGTTGCGGGGGCGCTGAAGCATATCCCAGCTTCCTGAGGGCGAGCGGCAGGATACAACCTGGACAGGTTGCCAGTCTGTTGCAGGTCTAACACACAGATATAGGGCAACCATTCACACTCGCACTCCCACCTATGGGCAATTAGCCTATCCCCACTAACTGCATGTCTTTGGACTGTGAGAGGAAGCTGGAGTACCCGGAAAGACAAACATGGGGAGAACATGCTAATTCCACAAAGAAAGACTTAAATTAGTTCATTCAATTTTAATTTACTCAATAAACCAAAACATGTGACATTATTTGTTTAAAAAAGGCAAAGTGCAGAAGCAGTGTGTGAAAAGCTAAGTAAACAACATGATTCAGTAGTTCGTAGAACCAACTCCAACAGCAATAACTTGAAATAATCATTTTCTGTACATATTTCTCAGCATTTTATATTAATGTTTTTTTTTTTTGGCTTACTCTTCTTAACATTGCTTCAGCTTGTTGAGATTTATGCGCATTTAATGAAGCACAGCTATTCCACCAGAGCATTTCAATCTAGTTGAAGTCTGGACTTTAACTTGGCCATTGAAACACCTTGATTCTTTTCTTTTTCAGCCATTCTGTTGTCGTTTTGCTGCCATGCTTGGGATCATTGTCAGTGACTGTAAGGTGCCCAGCTTCTGTGGTTGCACAACCCAAATCATCATGAGGTGTTTGATATGCTATAGGGTTAGGGGGGTTAGGGTTAGCGCCTTCGGTGCTAGGCCCTCAAACTGGTCATCCTTCTGCTCAAAGACCTGTTTCGGAGAAATGAAAATATCTTGATCTCTGAGCTTCAGGGAGAAAAGTGCCCCGACGCTCTGAAAGGACACGTCAAAGGCACAGCGTTAACAGAGAACCTGGCGACCCAAGACTCGTTCCCAACAACAGAGAAGGATGAGGGACAGAGCAGTACACAGGGATGGTTCTCGTTGAGGCATAGACCTTAACGAGAACCCTTCTCCACTATCAAATGCATTAGATTAGCAGCACGTGGCTGCTACTTACCCTTTTAATTCCTCTGAAAGTATTAAGAATGTACTTAGTCTTTCACACACTGGTTCTGCATTTTGGATTTTTAAAAAATAAATAATGACACATATGTCATGTGTTGTTATTCATCTGAGGTTCTTTTTACCTCATTTTAAGCTCTGTAAAGTAACTGACTAAACCTTTAAATGTGCAACTATAAACTTACATTTGTTTGTGTGTTATAAATCCTAATTTCACTCATAAACTATTAATAGCTTATTTAATTTACCTGGTCATTTCAGATTCATCGATATATCGTGGATGTATCGGGTGAGAAGGAAATAAAATCTCTACATTGTTGCAGTATCTTAAAAATCATGATTAAAAAAAAATCACAATTATTAAAAAAAACTAAACAAAAAAGAAAACATCCACCCAGCTGTTAACACATCACCACAAGTCAATTGTTTTATATTTGTTAGACTTTTCCAAAAGCAGAATTTGCACGGAAGCATAAACACTACAGATGAAAACCTGGAAGGGAGAATACATTTTTGGAGATTGCTGTAATTCCTGATCACTCCTCCATAAAGTCACTATGGCTGCGAAACAAAAAAAAACTCTAAGGCACATATTTGACCAACCTAACTCAAAAGTGGATTTCCCAAAATGTTTAACCATTTTGTTTTACCTTTAGTAATACATCATTGTTAAAACTAATTGGTAGTAAGCTTATTTTGATGACCATTTTAGTAATAATGCAATCATCTTCAATTTGTGTTTGTGGGACAACAGAGAGAAACATGCACATGACAAAGCTTTGCAACTCAAACAGGCCAAGCACAAACCGTTCCTGGAGCTGAAGCACACATTAAGAATAAAAGTTGATGCAGATTATATTTGAGTGTTCATAGCTTGCTGCACAGACCTCAGACCAGTAATGCAATGACTTGCTTCCCAGTTCACAAGCAGTGCTCACTGCACACATTGCAGAGGCCACCATACAGTACATTTAACACATGAACAGTTGTGTGTGTTTTTTTGGCATTCATGTCACTCATAATGACTGTCCTGTCTGCCATGTGATGATTTTTTTAGGCTCCTAACTGAGTCCCACTGCGAGCGAAATAATGAGGATGGTGATACAAATCGCAACACAAACTCCTATCAGGATCACCTTCTGGATGGGGGACCATGGGGAGGGAAAACAAGGAGAGCACAGCGTTAGATAATGAGTCAGGGGATTGAGAGGAACATGAGAGAGACAGAAAGAAAGAAAGAAAGAAAGAAAGAAAGAAAGAAAGAAAGAAAGAAAGAAAGAAAGAAAGAAAGAAAGAAAGAAAGAAAGAAAGAAAGAAAGAAAGTTTGCAGTCTTTAATTATAAATGGGGAAATAACCATGTAGATGACCCTTGCACTGAGTCATTGGATGTGTGCAATTTATCTAATGTTGAGCACCTGGTTAGACGTTGACCAAGAGGTGGCAGAATTGCTCCATTGTGTTGCAGATTGTTTAAAGGAAGGAAGACTGCCATGATTCCTTTCAAAAGCATTTGTCAAATGTTTATATACTATGGGAACAATCAGCTTCACATAATCCTGTCCAAAGATAGTGAACCTCCAGAGTTCATGATGTAAGATGATACATCTGGCTTTACTAGCAAACAACTATTCAAAGATGACAGTTTGTGCATTTTCTTTATATGCACTAAACGTGTAAAATCACTATATCTGTTGTGGCTCCTTGTCATGCCTCTCCGCCAGAATGTAGTGTTCATGTGTTAAAAGTGACTCTGGTTGTAAAGGTTGAATTAAAAATACATACAGGTTGTTTTTATTCCATTTCCTCTTAAATACAAATATGAAGATCATTTTTCTTACCAAATTGAATTGTTCTTAGGTCAGATTCTTATAGGCACTCACCGGCCAGTTTGTTATGTACACCTATTCAAATATCTAATTAGCCAATCATATGGCAGCAACTAAATTCCTTTAGGCATTTAGGTCATCTAGACATGGTCAAGATGACCTGCTAAAGGTCGTGATAGGGGAGCAGCAGTAACTCAAATAACCAACTGTTACAACTAAAGTATGCAGAGGAGCATCTCTGGAGGCACGACATGATGTGCTACAGCAGCAGAACATCAACCGTTTAGGCTGGTGGTATAATTGTGTGGAGGATATTTTCTTGGCACACCGTAGTATCAAATGGTCACGATTTAAACTTTGCAGCCCATCTGAGTCTTGCTGTTGACCATATACTTTCCTTTCCTTTCCAGGGCTATATGCCATGTCGTAGAGCTCAAATCATCCCTACCTGTTTTTTTGAACATGGCTGTTCTCAAATGTCCTCCACACTCACCAGATCTCAATCTAATAGAGCATTTTTGGGTTTTAATTTTTGCAGCATCATGGATGTGTAACTGACAAATCTGCAGCAGCTGTGGACTAAAATCTCTGAGGAATGTTCTTAGAACTGTGTTGAATCAATAAAAGGAAGAACTGAAGAATTAAGGCAGTTCTAAAGTCAAAAGATGCTCCAGCTCAGTACTAGCAAAGTGCACCTAATAAAGTGTCCGGTGAGTGTATATGCTAAAGTTACTGAGGCTGAAAGTCATTGCTGTAGACTTAAATACACTCACAATAACCACAGTCCATACACAGATACATGACAGGTGAGCATGCACAGCAACCACTCCACTATACACATGCACCGATTCCGACTTTAACTACCACCGTTCCACATGACAGCACGTTTTTCCGTTTAAGCAACTCACCCTCCGGGCTTTACTCTGGTATTTAACAGCCTTCTTAGTGTCTGATACCGCCCTCTCCACATAGTCTACCGAGTGCTCCACATTGTACTCAATGCGGTCTATCATTTCCCCCTAGAAGAAGTTAGTTACAGAGGAGGTGTGGAGGACATGCAGACAAGAAGAATAAAGAGGAAGCCAGATATGTAGGCAGGAGGAGGAGCGGATACAGATGGAGGCAAGTGACAGGGGAGGAATAACAGATAAATGAGTAGGAGAGAGAAGAAAGAAGGAGAAGAAAAAGAGAAAAAGAAATAATTATGTCACCCGTCTGTTGGTCTTTTTGAACTTTTTGCATTTTGGGATGTTGTCCTTTCCCTGCTCCACATAATCCTGGGCCTCCATAACACAGTGCTCAATGTTGTTCACGAGGTTGCCCTGCACAAGAATCAGAGATGGAGACACATTAAGGTAATAGTAAGAAGAAATCTGTAGTACCAGCAATGTTTAGATTTCATAAATATGTTTCAAAGCAACCTGACTAGACTAATGAAAGCTATCATTACATGAATGTCATAGAACACAAAATAACTGTGATATCATATCTCTTATCATTTCCATTGTATTGGTAACAAACCATGATTAAAACAGCATTAATCAACAAGATAGAAAATCATAACTTTTCACATTAGCACTGACCCACAATCACTTGACAAATCAAATGGCTACTAAAGTGACCCAGACTGCTCTCTGTGCATGCACTAAAACAAAGACAATTCAAAGTCCACACAGGTGAAAAGTCACGAGTTAGAGATAAATTACCTTGCTGTGTTAGAAGGGGAACAACGTTCTGTGTTCTCCAGAGCTTAGAGTCATTGGAGTGGGGGCAGTGTTGTGTAGTGAAGAAGAAAACAGAGGCGAAAACCAAGAGAGTGGGAGACAGAGAGAGCAAAGCTGAGAAGGGTAGATTTAACAATCACACTCCAGTTTAATCTTAAATCATGTGGCACTGAGAGCATAAAGGGTTAGTTAATTGAACTGTTTAGAGCACACACATACAAACACCCATTTCCACTGAATTATTAGACGTTTTCCCGCTAAATGTTATTGCATTGTGCCATCAGTGTAACCAAAATCAGTTTCATGTAACGATTTACTTCAATATTTCACATATTTTCTTATTTTTCATATTTTCAAGTGTTCTCTAACTCAGAATCCATTCTGTACAATTCAGGCCGATTATTTCTGATGAAGGAAATAGTTATCTCTGTGGGGGTTAAGCCGCGCACACCACAACACACCACCAACACACACACACACCACACACACGCAGCAGCCCTTAAGTTCCACACTTTGCTACGGAGACAAAAGGCAACTCAACACTTATAGAAAACCCGAATATGTATCAGAAAATTAGGGAACTGTTCACTCCATGAGGCTAATGTGCAGCATTCAAATTTTGCAACATAATAAAAAGACTAATCCTGAACAGCTCTAAATGCATGAAGCTAAAGCCTGAAATATTTAAGGTTTATTTATAATTAAAAGCTTTAACAAAATGTGACTCTGTTAAGTTGCCAACTTGAAAGTTGTAGATGTCAGATTTATTTTCCAGCTAATGATCGCAGCAGGAGAATTATTTATAAAAAAAAAAAAGGAAAAAAAAAAGAAAAAACTGTCCAAAGCCAGAAATCACACGTGGAGATAATCACCAAACTCCAATCAACTTATCTTTGAACCAAAAATGATCTGTTCCCCCAAAACTGTCTAAATTTACTGAGATAGTTTGCAAACAGACACCCAGATGGAGCTGAAAACATAACCTCCTTCCAACTGTGTTGGCATAGACAAGCCCTCAATTACACTAATACACTTAAAAACCGTTCTGCAAAATGAAAGACGTGTAGTTCCTTGAGCTTTAATAGGCAGGAGCAGCATGCTAGCATGCTGAGCTGATTAATGATTTTACTATTAATGAACACGGGGAGCTACTGAACCGCTGCAATGGCAAGATGGCCCTTTCTGCATGTAGAAACCAGTCATTATGCATCAATTGGCAGATGGATTGTCAGTTATAAACATATTGAGCATTTGCATGTTTGTTTCATTTGCATGCATTTGGCCGAGACTCAAGCAACACAGCTGTAGAAACAGAAAGGGAGAGAGAGAGATCAGTGTTTTCACCTGGCTTTCCACCAGCATGGCCATGTCCATGAACATGTCGTGAAGCTCCCTGATACTGTTTTCCAGCTTGATAATCTCATTGTGCCGCGTCTCGATCTCATTCATTGCTTGCTGGGTGATGTTGTCCATAATTATCTAAGAAGGTACAAAATTAAGGAAGTAGTGACTGACAGGTGCCCCCCGCTGCATTCTTTATGTTTTGCTTTTTTGTTTTTTGTAAGACTTACCCCCGAGGTGAAGATGGCTGGATTGTCACTTTCCAACATGCTCTCCAGCTCCTCGTTTGTTGTGTTTCTTCCAGCTAAAAAGGCAAAGCGCACAAACTTCAAAAAAAGACCGCCAGCTTGCTTAAACTTTTAGGGATAACTGTAGGTGCATCGATATTTCATTTAAAAGGTTTCCAAAGAGAATGAAGACCATATTAATAAAACACTAATATAACGCCCTGGACGATAACAGTCATCCCCTCCTGGTCTATATGCCAATTTGAGGATTAATTAAAATAAAAGCTGTTTGCTCATCTTTTACACATACTTATTTTCCATCCTCTCTCCATCCGTCTCCACTGTACAGGAACGGCAACACTGGATGTAATATGTAAAAGATTTGTCCAGGCAGGAAAAGGGTTAAAAACAGATGTAATAATAGAAAAACTGATCTGAATGTCGCAGGGTAAATATGTGTTCATACATCTGTCAGTATTTAACTAGACATCTCAAATTATCTCCAAGCTAAGGTTCAGACAGAAAGCCATAAACCCTGCAATTCAAACATTAATGGGCCTACAGTTAAAATATTGCTTAACTACAGGAGTGAGCCATCGGACTTCTCATTGCACTTAACCCCACATCTCTGACATTTGCAGGCCAGAAGTTTTGCATTTTTCTGATCCAGCCACACTAATGTGAACATGATTAATGGTGTAAAATACCTCGAGAAACTAACAGTTCAGTTTTTTGCTCTGTGTATATCCATTTGTTGATGTGTTTTGAAGCAAACATTCACGGTCTCTCTTCTTTAATCCTATCAGCACGTGTCATTAACGTTTGAACGAGGATCTGTGGCTACTCTAAAACCTACAAGTTAGATTTTTTTTCGCTTTTGACAAATCACACACGGTAGCTCAGCGACTGCAGCTGAGTCAGAGATATCAGTCTGCATCTCATTTGTAGTAGCTGAGATTGAATCTGATACTCGCTGATCATCTTTTGACATTTCCCCTTCAACTGTCAGACAGGCAGAACATGAGTAAACACGGCTCGTATTCATTTGAATATGAGGCTTGTGTAGTTTCTTAGCATGAGGAGCAGAGGAAGACGGAGAACTATCACCTACTTATTTAGCAGTTTATTAAGTTTGCTTTAATATTTTCAATCTCCCATCTCTTTCTGTGTGACAGCATTTCTTATGGCTTCTTTCTGCTGATGAGTTTGCTCCTCATCCATCTTTATTTTCCCCGACAGAGTTGCCCTACTTTACAAGCATTTCCCTACACCTACACTAATACTCTCGTTTGAGCGCTGAGTTTGCATGCAGCGCTGCTCCACTTGGGCTCCATTACTGCCCCACTGTTACTGTAAGTCATAGTCAGACACTATCAGCAGCATTTCCAATCTTTCCTTTGCACATTTTAAATCCTCTTTGGGGTTGCATGTGAATACAGGACTTTCCCTTTCTTCCCTGTGATGACACACGTGATGACCCATCAAATAGTAACTCGATGTACAGAGCTGAGCAGTTAGTTTAACTTCTCTCGGCTACGGTTAAAAAACAAAAACAAATAGCAGGCCAAAGAAATCTAAAAGCTTTCTAACAACACTGTCTATTTAAAAAAACTAGTGGTGAGAGAAACACTGAGCTTTTTTACTAAATAGAAGTACAAGAAAAAGCCATTTAGAGAAAAAGTTCAGAAATATTGTTGTAAAATGATTTTAATCATCAAAACTGCCCAATAGGCAAATGGATTAAGATTAACAAATTAAATTAAAACACTAAGAAATATATTTTGAACATTTTCAAAGCAGATATTTTGACTCGCAGCAGGGACAGCACAAGTGCCTTCATGATGGCTGCATTCCATTTTCTTCATACTGGTTCACTGCTGTGGCATGCTGGGATATTATGGGGAAATCATTAATTCTGCCTGTTCCTTCCCTACTGCGCCACGTCACAATGTCTGTCTAGAAAAGATCTAAAAAGCACGCCATCTATAACATTTCTCCTATGGCCTCAGCGTCACAGGCCTAGAGACCAGTGGGTGATCGCTGGCAATCACAGTTTGCTAGAGAAAAATGTGCACGTTACTTGTGCTTTAATGAAATTGCTCGCAAAGAGGTTGTAGTACTACACCAGAAACATTCTTGTGATTGCTTTGAACGCCAACAGGTTGTTGCGGTCCCCTGTAGTTGACCTGTAGTGTCGTATACTACAGGTCAACTACAGCAAGCTCAGGCAGCCACTTACCAACATGTCGGGAAATTCTCAATGACTGGAGGTTGTCAGCAACTGATATAAATTAACATAAAAGAGCCCTTCAAATTACACTGTGCTAATACAGCACTTTAATAAATGTATTTAGCTCATTTCTGCTCCTGGGTATACTGAAACAGCAACCACAGGGGCTGACAAAGAAGCCAACTGGAAGTGCCAAAACCTGCAGTTCATCTAGTGGCCACTTGAGGCTGCTTACCCTTTTAACTACTCCAGAGATAATCTTAACATGCTCACAGCCTGGTACAAAATGGTTTGGGTCTCTACAGTGAATTTCTGCTTTCAAACATCTCTCCAGGGGATTTATTTCTTCCCTTTTATTTTGTTCAGGGATAGAGTTATGATTGCTTTGACAGAACGTTATCAGCAATAGCTGTCGGCAAGACTTCGCCTCCACTAATTTGTGGCACTGAGCTG